AGGATAGAATGTTAGTGGACAAAGTAGCATGGATAGAATTTTAGGATGTGTCCATCTATGATTTTGGACAAAGTATGGCCTTATGGGTGTAGTGTTGTTCACGTAAAAAGTAGAAAATTAATATCCACACCAACGCATCCATGTTCATATAACTATCTCCACTCTTTATATCCATATGAATATATAATACTTATATCCCATGAACATGTTTACATGAACATGTGATCATGTACATAATATTGTGGATAACTCATGAGTGTGTGATAAGTTAGATAGCTTTTTATAACTCTTCCATGATTCTATGAAGACAAATGAAGTAGAAAATAAATATTACATTAAAAGATTAGATCCTATAAGATGATAAAAGATAAAGGATGTACACAAATTTTGTTACCAACCTCACATATTTGAGATAAACAAGAAAAAGTTTATCATCTCTATTATCTTGTGTCTCTTTACATGTCATATTCTAATAGAAAAAGTTTTCATATTCTAACGAAAAAATGCATATTTACCATATTACATGTCTTACTTAATTAATCTTATATAATGAACTATAACATTCAAAAATTAATTGTGTGATTCCATCCATTTTTTATTTTCTCTAATTTAGAATTAAACAAATTATGACTTCATGTTATTCGAAAGATGGAAACTAGAAATCTTAAAAAATATATCTTACTTAACAACAAAATTATTCAATTATTTAAATGTATATCTTATTATAATATGTTTATTACAGAATTAATACATCCCTATTATTCTTTATTGTACGATAGAACTGAAGTGTATTTTTTATCGGATTTGTAATATCATTTGACTTACTTTTAAGAGTAATCATATTTTTGAAAATATTTTATCGTAAATTATTCAAAAAGTTGAAAATAAACTTCGCGTATATGCGGAACCTTATCTAGTAAATAATATTTAACAACCATGGTACACAATATCAATTTATATAGTTTATGTTACGATAAACACAATTTATATATTAATATATACGAATGTTGAAAACGTAAACAATGTAAAATCTAAAAAAAATATTAGTGGCAATTTGGATTTTTTTAAATGTGTGGTTGAATGAGAGAGCTTCATTCTATAAATCGTGTTGCAAATAATAGTTGAGATATTTTTATTAATGGCAGTTTGAACATTTTAATTGTGAAAGTGAGTGAGAAAATTACATTCCCCAAAATCACTTTGTAAATAATAATATAGTTGATTCAATAATAATCGATATTTTAATTTATTTAATTCGAATAAGCAGATAAACGCAATAGATTTCTCTTTGAAGAATTCTTTTAATGTGAATTATCTAATTCAACAATAAGCCATATCTTGTATATAATAAACTTCTAAGAGCATCTCTAATTCAATTCCATTTTTCAATTTTACTGCCATTTTGCAGTCAATTTTACTATAACCTAACCTCATTTTCAACTTCAAGTTGGAAAAATATGGTATTTTTTTTCCAAATATGGGATGATCTCATTTTTATTTCTCTTTTGAAGTTGAAGTTTTAAAATTGTAAAAGAGTCATTAACTTTTAAATTATTTCACTTTAAAAATTAGGGAAGTTGATGAATATGACCTTGGAAAGTTAGTTAATAACTACAATAACTCTTGTAAATTCAAGTGGCTTAAACAGTTTTTTTCCCGATTTTACCCTTATTTCTTTGGTGACAAAAAAACGTATTTACGAAAGTGCCATTAATGAACCGGGATAATAAGTCTACAAAAGACGTTTTCCAAAATAAGTCTACAAGAATAAATCTACAAACAATGACCGTAGAGTTATTATGAAAACTAGGAGAGAACCCGCGCAATGCGCGGGTTTATTAAACCAAATATTTTTAATTTAATTATTCAGAACATTAGATTCGAATATATCATTTGTTTTTTACTCGAATATATTAGATTCTGTAAGTTTTGCATTTTGTTTTTTTTCATATAGTTTTAAAATTTAGTTGTTATTTACGTGAAATCTTATATAGACTCATAGTGAATAGTTTCATATGTTTTTTGTTCTTTTATACAATAATTTATCGACTGGAGTTGAGTTCTTCTAATTTTCCTTATACTAACAATCATTATAGATTGATTATTATCCTACAGACTCATAGATAATAATAATTGCAATCCTTTTTAAAAGGAAATGAAATGAGCTAATTAGCCAGTAAGCCCATTTAAAGCTACCATGGAAACGAAGAGGTCCGATAAATAATCAAGCCCATCAAAACGAACAGCATTACACATAATTTTGATTTAGATTTTTTTTTTTTTTTTTTACGAAAACGACGTCGTTTTGGTGTAAGACGAAAAAAAAAGATAAAGCGCAAAACGACGTCGTTTTGGTGTAAGACGAAAAAAAAAAAATAAAGCGCAAAACGACGTCGTTTTGGTGTTAGGCGAAAAAAAAAAAAAAAAAGAGTGCCACGTGTCAAAGGCTTGAGATTGTCCAAGCCTTATTAGTTATGTAGATTATAGACTAATTTTTCGATTTGTAGATTTATATCGTCTTGTAGATTTATCATCTTATTTGTAGACTTTTGTTTGTAGATTTATTTTTAGTTTCCGTAGACTTAATTAAGTTTGTAGAGTTTTTTTTGATTTTGTAGAGTTATTTTTATTATTGTAGATTTATGTTTGTAGACTTAATTCGTATTGCAGTAGACTTTTAAAAAATGTCAAAGTCGAACTGGCATTTTGTAGATTTATTGTTGTGTAGCCGTAGATTTATAGTTTTCTTGTAGACTTATTTTTTTTGGCCGTAGATTTATTTTTATGTTTATGTTACGGTAGACTTAGTTTACATTACTGTAGATTTATACTTTGTCTTGTATATTTGTTTATTTGACAGTAGATTTAAGGAACATGCTAACTTTTGTTTATTTTATGGTAGATTTATATTATTTGATTGTAGATTTATTGGTGCACAGTAGATTTATTCATTGTTGTGGTAGACTTATTTATAACAACTAGGGCTTGGCCCGCGTGATGCGCAGGTAGTGTGTATTACAAACTATTTCATAAGTATAAATTCAGATTTTCAGAATTATTACCTTTATTCTATGTTTATATAGTTATCCTTTTTAAACTCTATCCACATAGTTATAAATTATTTAAGGAACATAAAAATAAAATCCAAATCAAATATGTTATTTTAAAATATAAGAAATCATGAATTATTAAAATCTTTAGTTTTAAACAACATAAATATAAAGAGACAACATCTTTGCCCATGAGATAGAGAGGCTAGTGAGAGAGAGCAGCGAGAAAACAATGAAGCGAGCGAAATGAAATGTCTCCTTGCGTATTGTATATGAATGCAACTGTTGTAGATGTTAATAGAAAAATGTAATCTAACATACCTCTCATTGCTGATGTATGTTGTTAAAAATTTCTTTGTACACAATATTGGTCATTTCATTGTCTTCTTCGGATTGTGCTTCTCCACTGGAAATTTTTAAATCTCTCATTGATGTAACCCTCGAGAACGCAAGACCGTGACTGAACACCGATTTTGGTAAATACAACTTTACCTTCCCCAGACTTTGTTTTTGACTCTTGTTAATAGTCATTGTATAACAAACACGTACTGAAAACTGTCTCCATCTTATCTGGTAAGGGGAGTCTGTGTCTGCTATTGTCATGATGATCCTTGGAATAAGAATTCTCTTCTCAACTTTAGCTCCGGTTATAATCTCCACTTCGATAACTCTTTCACTTAACCTTGTCACCATCAACATTGTCCCGTTGCACAATCCTTCTTTCTGGTTCATGTTTCTCATTATGAGAATTGATGTGTATCTTGAGCTGGACGATATGATTCGGTAGTCGAAAACATTTTTTAGGTGGAGATATGCATATTGTGACTATTACAAAATATTTTATTTATATTTTAGTTGTCAATATTATATTTCTTATATATCAACACATATAAATGTTCGGTGGTATAGTGCTTCTTATTTTGTCGAATATCAACACTATAAATTAACCAGAAAATAGATTAAATGAAATTCAACTTTATATATATATTTTTTTAATGGAAATTGCTACTTAAATATTTTAGCATAAGTTTAAAAGAGTTTATTTTTAGCGTCGGTTATTTAAATATTTTTTGCATCACCAGTAAATATCAATTTTATATTTTAGCAGCAGTTTAAAAGAGTTTATTTTTTAGCGTCGGTTATTTAAATATTTTTTGCATCACCACAAACTAATAACAACCACCTCGACACAACATAAAGTCTTCACATTTATGTGTTTTCAAACCCATAAATACAATGAACAATAAACCTCACCATTTTGCTATAAACATTCTTGGTAGCTTCTTTTTCTACAAATTTCCATCTTCTTCATGTTCTGCTACTCTTTTCTTGGAATTGGAATCATTACAGAGATTACATATCAGAAACACCAAAAGGCCAAATCTTTATCACTACAAATGTTGGTTCTCTAAAGAATAATCAAAGATGAACATTTCACAGGACATAGCACTACAACAAATATGGGTATTCATAGCAGACGATAATAGCACTTTTTCTGTAACTGCTATGAAATGTTAATTTGTACTTTGGAAATGTTTTCATAGCACTATATAAATGTTATGCCCAAAAAAAAAGAAGCGGCAATTAGAAAGACTCTAGTCCGCCAAATTATTGTTCTAAGCGCGAACACTTAGCGAAATTTTCATTTTTTTTTGACTAATTACAATGTTGGACAAGGCATGGGTTAATTTATGCAGGTATGTACATGTCTTTTCTCTATCTTTTTTTCGTTTGTTTAAACAATGTATTGATCTTGTTTTTGTTTTATTTCCTTTTGATTTTCATGGACTGAAGAGTCGATCCTGCTTATGTGACTGGTGCTCGGGGTTTTGTTAAGCTGTTAGTACCACAGTAGGTGTAGATGGGAAGATAACATGTCCATGTGCCATTTGCCGCAATTTAGATCGCCGCACAAGCGATGAGGTAGTTTCTCATTTAGTGATTAATGGAATGGACGAGGGTTACAAGTTGGCGTCTGATTGGTTCCACCATGGAGACGGTAAATCTGTAGCTGCAGTAGAAGGTGTTGATAGTGTGAGGAATACTGAGATTTTTGGATTATACGAAGCAGCTACATGTTTGGATGAGGATTTAGCTAGTAAGGGTTTAGATTTAGTAGAAGTCGCTGAGGGTGAGGATAGAAAGGAAGATGAGTTTTTAGCTAAACTTGCAGAGGCTGAGACGCCGTTGTATCCAACGTGTGTAAACCACAGCAAGCTGTCTGCTATAGTGTCTCTCTTCAGAATAAAGACTCAGAATGGTTGGTCCGACAAGAGCTTCAACGACTTGCTGGAAACATTTCCTAAGATGCTACCTAAAGACAATGTCCTGCACACTTCAACTTACGATGTCAAGAAGTTCCTCAAATCTTTTGATATGGGATATCAAAAGATTCATGCCTGCGTGAATGATTGCTGCTTGTTCAGAAAGAAGCTTAAGAAAGCCGAGAGTTGTCCTAAGTGCAAGGCTTCGAGATGGAAAACAAATATGCACACCGGTGAGGTCAAGAAGGGTGTTCCGAATAAGGTGTTAAGGTATTTTCCAATAATCCCTCGGCTTAAAAGAATGTTCAGAACTGAAAGTCTTGCTAAGGATTTGAGATGGCATTTCAGTAACAGGAGTAGTGATGGGAAACTGCGCCATCCAGTAGACTCTGTTACATGGGTCTCAATGGATGCCAAGTACCCGTCTTTCGCAGCTGAGCAAAGAAATTTACGGCTTGGTCTCTCTACGGATGGGTTTAATCCGTTCAGCATGAAGACCAGTAGATACTCTAGTTGGCCAATGCTTCTAGTGAACTACAACATGGCGCCTGATCTCTGCATGAAAGAAGAGAATATCATGCTTAGTCTTCTGATTCCTGGACCGCATCAGCCAGGTAACAATATAGATGTCTATTTAGAACCACTTATAGAAGATCTAAATCACTTGTGGACTAAGGGCGAGTTAACTTATGATGCTGTTAGTAAAACGACATTCACTCTTAGGGCAATGCTTCTTTGGACAATTAGTGACTTTCCTGCATACGGAAATCTGGCTGGGTGCAAAGTAAAAGGGAAAATGGGTTGTCCTATATGTGGAAAGCACACAGATAGTTTGTGGCTTAGTAATAGTCGGAAACATGTATATATGTGCCATAGGAAAGGTTTATCTCCATCGCATAGTTTCCGGGGTAAGAAGACATGGTTTGATGGGAAGACAGAGCATGGGATAAAGGAACGGATACTGACGGGTCGAAATCTTTCTTCTCTGTTGAAGGGTTACAAGAATGATTTTGGGAAAAAAAACTGAGACTGGGAAGAAAAGATCCAGAGCTGCTCATGTTGAGGTTCATTCAGACAATGAAGACGACTGCAGTGAATCAGATGAAGAAGAAAACCTAGTTGAAAAAGACGAAGAGGAGCTATCTAGATGGAAGAAAAGGTCAATCTTTTACACATTGCCGTATTGGGAGGTATGAATATTTATTTTGCACAATACATTAATATATTTCCATTACAGTCAATTGTATGTACTAATTATTTACTTTTCTGTTTTGGTTTGTTTTTTTTGAAGGAGCTCCCAGTTAGGCACAACCTAGACGTGATGCATGTGGAAAAGAACGTTGCATCAAGCTTAATTGCTACGTTGTTACATTGTGGCAATTCAAAAGACGGCCTGAAAGCTAGAAAAGATCTTGAAGCCCTTGGTATCCGAAAGAATTTGCATCCTAAAGCTCAGGGTAAAAGGACGTTGCTTCCTGCTGCACCTTGGTCTTTGTTAAAGACGGAGAAGAAACTATTTTGTAAGCGGCTCTTTGACTTTAAAGGACCAGATGGTTATTGTTCTAACATCTCCTCGTGTGTGTCATTAGAAGAATCGAAAGTGATGGGACTAAAGTCTCATGATTACCACGTCCTGATGCAGCAACTTCTGCCTGTTGCGATCCGAGGTTTACTACCTAAGGGTCCAAGGTTAGCCATTTTCCGGTTATGTGTGTTCTTCAATCTCCTATGCCAAAGAGTTATTGATATGGAACAAATCCAAGTAATGGAGACAGAGATTGTGGAAACTCTATGTATGTTTGAGAGGTTCTGGCCACCTAGTTTCTTTGACATCATGGTGCATTTGTGTGTGCATCTCGGTAGAGAGGCGCGTTTAGGTGGTCCGGTTCATTTCAGATGGATGTATCCATTTGAGAGGTAATCTTTTTGCTTATTAGATACACACATGTATATATGTCTCTATTTATGAAGTTTATCTTATTGTTGTCTCTCTCGTTTGTAACGTGTGCAGGTACATGAAAGTATTGAAAGACTATGTAAGAAACCCAGCCAGACCAGAGGGCTGTATAGCTGAGTCTTATCTATCAGAAGAATGTATGAGGTTCTGCGCAGCCTTCTTGAAAAAAACAACAAACGTAGAGGAAAAGGCCGAGCGAAATACTGAGTATGAAAGCAAATCAATCTTGGAAGGTCGACCTTTATCAGCCGGTAGTTCATTCAGTTTGACTGAGATGGAAAAGAAAATTGCTCATTTAGCTGTTATTCAGAATACGGCCTTGGTGGAACCTTATGTTGTGTAAGTGTTAATTTTTCTATGTACTTTATTCATATTTTTATAATTTGATACTGATACATGTTTTATATTTTCTTTTCCTATGCAAGGGCTCATTTACAACACTCCAAGACACAAACGGTAGATGTCGTCGGAATTCTACTCATTTGTGGAGTATGCACACTCTGAATTTCCCGACATGGTTAAAGCAACAAGCATGAATAAATTGCATTATGGTTTTATTATTTAATTTATTTCGGTTGTTTTCATTGTATACTAACACCAGCGTTTACATCATAGATACGGCTAGATGCTGAAGATAAAGCCGATACTCTGAAATGGTTGGCTTATGGTCCGCGGAGTGTAGCCAGGTCTTTCACAGGGTATATTGTGAATGGACTGCGGTTTCATACCAACTCAGTTGATAGACTAAGTCGGAATAGTGGGGTTTACTATGAGGCTACGGCGATGTGTAGATCTAGTGCTAAGGACACAGCACAAGTAGTAGACTTGGTTTCATATTATGGCAAAGTAGTTGATATTATCCTACTAGATTACAATGTGTTCTACGTTCCCATATTCTGGTGTCATTGGGCTGTTAGAGGAAACGGGGTTAAAGTTAAAGATGGGTTCACACTTGTTAATATGAATCAGAGTCAAGCATCTTTCTCCAAGGATCCGTTCATCTTAGCATCTCAGGCGAGACAAATATTTTATTCTAGAGATAACGATGATTCCAGTTGGTATGTAGCTATGAGAGGTCCATCTAGGAGATACAGTGATGAGAATGATGAAATAGTGAACACAGAAGTAGGTCCGCTACCTTCAGAGGTTGACATGGGTATAGAAGATTTGGCAGACGGAGCACCAAATGTCAGAGATGATTGTGAAGGAATTTACGTTTGATGGTGTTAGTTCACTGACAGTTGATGTGCTGAGTATTGAGTCAATATGTTTTTCTGTGTTTCATGGATTTTTTGTTTGGTTTTGTGTTTTTGCTGAAGTACTCTGATAATTGGTTTAGTTTATGGTATTGGTATTGCTTTTTACGTTGCTATGGGATGGTCTTGATTTATTTATGTTATGTTTGACCTTGTTTTCTGAATATGAGTTTTATAGAAGGATTCTGATGGCTAAGACGAAGAAGACTTCGAAAAAGAGGAAGTCCACAGTTGCAGATGATGAACCGGAATTCATTCACACTATACCGGCAGAAGGAGATGGAGGAAGGCAGGAAGAAACACAACCTGATGACACACAACTTGAAGACACTGAGCCTGGTATGGCTGAGGGTACGATAGATAGCCAGATGGATGTACATGAGGCTGTTCGAGAGAGTACGGAAGAACAAACCCGTAAGGAGACCAGTTCACAAGACGGTGCGAGAGAGGATGTTCCTGATACGGCTCAGCGACGGTCAAAGAAACACCGAGGACCCACTAAGATGAAGGATATTGCAAAAGATCCTAATACCAGGATAAAAGTGGAGTTCACAGAGTTGGGCGAACCTTGTGGTGAAGGATCAGTTAAGTTGTCTTCTTACTTAGGCCTTTTGGTTAGGGAACATGTTCCGGTGTTGATAGATGACTGGAGGAAAATCGGTGAAGAGCGGAAGACAGTTCTGTTGAAATCTATTAAGGTATTATGTATTCAATTCAGCTATTTTCA